TGTCTGAGTTTCTAGAGCGTACAGTTATAGGGCTGATTCAGAGAGCAGTCTACCGGATAGGGGTCCCATACTCGAGGACACGTCACATCTTGCTCTGGTTAGACAAGAAGAGGCCCTCCGTCTAGCGCCGCTACACGGCTAGCCAGCTATGCTATAGTGACCAGGGTAAGCTTGTCAGTCCTTACACTGCTTGCTTGCCATCGTCTCTTGTATATATATCCATGAATTTCTTCATGATAGAAGGGTTCACTTAAGGTTCCCTTGTTTGCAGTCTGTTTTATTCCTGTTTCGCACTTTCTAAAAGAATGCTTGTTACTCCACCCTGCCCTAATAACTTTTTTGTCACATGTGCTTCATCTTCCTCCTTTTGCATCCATTCTGTCACCTTGCTCACTCTCTCTCAATATTTGAGCAATGAGAGCTTTTGCTCGCCTCCTCATTTGCACCAGCACTCTTCACTACTTCCGACTCTTCTCACCGTTTCTCCCTTCATCTCTCTTCTCAGGAGACTCCTTACTATTAATACTTTGACGGTCCCTTCCTCGTTTCTAAATAGAGACGGAAAAAGCTCCTATACGGGTTCCTGTTTCCTTCCTGCTATCTCACTGAATTTGCCTATTATCCTGGTCCTCTGCTGAAGTCGCGCTCTTCGCTCTGAAGCCTTCATCTCCTTAATACTAGGACTAAGCGTGGTCTTACTCACCCTACTTTCTACTGAAACTCTGTCTATGTACCGCTTTGCGGCTGCTTTTGTTACTCTCACACTAGTCTATCCGATGAATTTCACCTCTACATCCTTCTCTCACGCCTGAGGTTTGGTTCACTCACTTCTCTTATGACACTAATCTGCTATATCTAGGGCTATGTTTGGGAATACACGCCTGCTAACGGAGGCTACCTGTATCAATTATTTGAACTTATCTTAATGGTGTTCGTCAGTTGGACCAAGTGGTTTGTATCCATAAGTTCAGAACTTTAGAACAGAGTGCAATAGCTAGTGATTGGAGATACACATCGTGTGGCCACTAACCTTTCTAGATGTGAGACTTCCAGCACTCTGAAATTACACTCTTGGTGATTATGACGGAGAGCGTTGGTACACACACATTAATCCTTGCTGAACAGACCTTGTCCATCCACTCCCACAGCTCTCCAAATAAAGGCTTGCTCCCTCAGACTCAGGTTCCACTCAACAAGATTAGCAGCTACCCAGTGAGCAGACTGAGTTAGGGGGGATGTGCTGGAATTTAGAAGGTGGCTTCCACCGATCCATCACCAATACGATTCATAGAAGAACCAGCCAGGGCTCCAGCCTATTGCATTGTTGTTGTATTCCAGGTTCTCCAAACCAGCACCCATGTTCCTGGATGACTCCTTTCGCAAGTGGGCTAGGATTCGAGAGTTTGTGCCACCTTTTGGGATCAAAGGTCAAGGTATGTTGGGAACCCTGACCTACATTGACATCTCATCCTCCAGATTATCTCCGTACTTCAGCACAGGGCTGTATCTTCAAAAATCCCCATCCTAGGGACTCACTCATTCTCCACTAAAAACAACACCTCATTTTCCTTTCCTGTCTTTTCTACTCTCTTACTTATTAAATGGAATATTGACTCAGAGCTCGCCACTTGCCAGGGCTGGGTTTACAACAGTTACATAGATGGATGTGGTCTCTCTCCTCAAAAAGCTCTAGCATAGTGGGGAATAGGCACTCAGAGTGCAGGACAGGACTCTGCTTGGGAAAGACCCTGAGTTCATCGAAGAGAAGTACCAGAGACATTATTGTAGAGCACTAGGTACAATGGGAAATTTCCCAGACACAACAGAGGCCACCCTATAGGAAAGCTCCCCACTCCATCATCCCCACCTGGTGTCTTTAATCCTAACCTGGTCTCCCCTCCCTAATCATTCTTATCCTGTCCAAGGCTATCCTTTCCCCCTTAACTCAGACACTCCCTCTTCCTTCACCTTAGGGAGTTCTTCCCTCCTAACCTAAGACTTTCCCATCTCTAACAGTGTAATAGTTCCTGAGCTGTTTCATAGCATGGTGGAAAAGAGCAGGGGCTTTAGAGTCACATAGGAGATCATATCCCCATATTAACTCTTTATTAGCAGTGACCTTGCACAAGTTACTTAACCTGTCTCTGCTTTAGCTTCTTCATCAGCTAAATAGAGAAAATAGTACTATTATTTAAGGTTGTGGTCAGAATTAAAGAAACAACTGTTAAAGGGGTGATATCATTTGGCTGGGAGTCTCAAGAATACTTAAACCCTCCATTCAGGTAGGCTACCCTTCCCTGGAAAGAAGACGGTGGCCAGAAAATGTTGAACTGGGGCTTTGACCTCTAGCCTCCAAGGACACATCTAAAGGCTTGTGTCAAGCCATATGAAGAACTCTTTCCTGAGTGCACATAGCCAAGCAGCCTACTCCTGAATTTCTCCTAAATCCCCACTCAAGATCCTGACTGAACAGATACAAATGCCAAGGAAGGTCAATATACAGTGTACTGGAGAAGAGAGCAGCTATTCATATATGCCCTTTCTGTGAGGAATCCCCTTCTAGAAAACAAAACCCCATCCATATCCTTGATCTTGACCAAGTGCCTCTACTATTCCTTAATGGTAAAATTAGACGTAGAGAAAGGAAAGGAGTGAGTCTATGACCTTCCCTAAAACCCACTGTAAGGCATATCTGAAGGCACTTAGTATAGAATGTTCTTTACAGGTTTGTTTTTCACCGTATTCTCATTCAACTTCTGGAAGGACTAGCTGTGCCTGCTGCCTCTTCTTTCTCACCATGTACTCCTAAACAGTATGTTCCTCACCATTCCAGGGCAACTGCTCAGAGCCTCTTTGAAAACTCTTCAGGCTTTAACTTGACCTTTGAACCTGAAAGTATCTCCACCCCTTTCCTTAAAAATTACATGTAGGGGCTGGAGGTATAGGTCAGTGGTAGAGTGCTTGCCTAGCATGCACGAGGCCCTGGGTTTAATCCTCAGCACCACAAAGAAAATTATGTAACTCATAATAAAGCATTTGCCTAGCACATACAAGGCCCTAGTACAATCCCCAACCCCATAAAAAAACACTAAGGAGCACTATTCACATTCTGCCCAGCTTAAGGATTAAAGCATGAGCTTCTGTGTCACTCTTCCCCTCCATTCTCCTCCTTCCCTAAGAGACCATTATCCTGGTTTTTATGTTGTCATTCCTGTGCCTTGCTTATTTGTTTTTGCTATACATTTACATATTCATTATAAATCTATTGATTTTGCATTTTTTTAAACTTTACACATATTATCTATACATATATGTGTATGTATGTATACTTCAAATCGATTTTTTTTTTTATATATTTATGTTTTTTAGCTCAGTCTATACTGGTATATATGGCTCTAGGTCATTAATTTTTTTCTTTTAACTGCTATATAATATTTTATGTATTGCATGTAATTTTCCTTTGGTAGACATTTGGGTTGCTGCCAGTGTTTTTCTATTACAAACAATAATGCAGTGAACATTCCTGTACATGTCTGCTTGAACAAACTGAGTTTTTCAGTGCTATGTCCTGAGGAGTAGAGTTGCAGGGTCCTACTCTATGCACTCCTACATCGTTATTTGATATTACTAAGCTGCCATCTATTTTGATGGCACCAATTTACTTTAGCTTTAGATCTTTATGTATATTATATCTTCCTAACAACTCTGCGAAGTAGGAATTACCATCTCCATTTTAGAGATGAGGAAACTAGGGCTGGTGGAGTGGCTCACGGGGTAAGAGCACCTGCCTAGCAAGCATGAGGCCGTGAGTGTAAACCCCAGTATTGCCAAAAAAAAAAAAAAATATATATATATATATATATATATATATATATCCGGCCACAGAACTCTTAAGTAATAGAGCCAGGCTCTGACTGCAAAGCCAGTACCTTCCTTGTAGATGATATGCTTTTTTATGATGGGACTGGGGTTTGAACTCAGAACCTTGCCTTTGCTAAGCAAGCACTCTACCACTTGGGTCATGCCTCCAGCATTTTTTAGGTTATTTCTCAGATAAGGTCTGGCTTTTTGCCCCAGGTAGCCTTGGACTATGATCCTCTTATCTATACCTCCCATGTAGCTGGAATTATAGGCATGAGCCAGGGGATCCAGCCTTACATTATCAATAATATTATAATGCTTTCATTGGAGAAAGAAAAGCAGTCATCATTGCCAAAGCCAGAAAAAAGCCAAGAAGATGAGGTTGAATAAGAGCACAGAGGTTCTGGGATCCTTGCTGAGAGCAGCCTGATGAAGTGCAGATGGGCAAATGCTAGGCTGCAGAGGGTAAAGAGTAAGAAGGGCAGCCTAATGAAGAGCAGAATTACAGGCTGGCAGTATAAGAGGGAGGAAACCAGGGGAAGAACTTGAGGCAAGTATGAGCTCTTCCCATTGGTTGTCTCCTCATTTGTTCCCTTACAGAGGTAAGCACAACATGGTCTCTGTCTCTGAGTAGGGTCTCCCATTCCTGGGGGAAACTCAGGTGCCCCAGCTTCCAGGAAGGAGCCTGCCCTAAGGATCCTGACCTAGGGCCTGACAACAGAGCCTCAGAAATACAGATGAGTCTCTAAGGAAAGTACAAGAGACCTAGGAGGAATGTGCATGCCAGTGTTAGAGACTGGCTCCTGGCAGAGGTATGCTTGCCTATACCCTTGCCTCCATCTCCTGTCTCAGGGAAAAAGTTATGGAAGTGGTCTGGCCCAGCCTTGTATCTGGAACTTCCTTTCCCCACCCCCACTTCTACTCTAGCTCCAGCACTTGTGCCTCCAAGTAGGACTGTCAGAAAACATTTTGTGGGAACTTAAAGTGACCCACTAACAGTAACCTCCCTCCTCTGTCCACAGACAATCTGATCAAAGCCATCTTGTCAGTCACCAAAGAGTACCGCCTGACTCCTGCCTTGGACAGGTGAGCCACTGCTGCCAGCCTCCTTCGCCCGGCCGCCTGGCATGTGCAGAGTGTTGAGACCCAGCTGGTCTTTCCTACACATGGGTAGATTCTCCACATATCTGCACATACAAATACATGTAAATATCCTGGATGGGGGAACAGATAAGTGGGACCACTCCCCTGGGCTAGAGCACTTGGCAAGACATCTTGGTCCTCAGTCATCAGGGGCTTAAGGGTAAAACTACAGATACTGGGACTAGGATCAGTCCAGCAATGGGACTAAGGGTCTGAGCTGAAGAGGGGAAAGGTTTTAGTCCAGGAAGCAGCAACAGCTCTTAAGCCAACAGACCGTGTGGGAAGAGAAATAAGGGAAGCCCCAGGTTTGGGGTGAGAGAAGAAAAATGAGCAAGCCCCTCAGTGGTCATTGGGAGCCTGGTGGTTTTTGAATTGAAAATAAGGTGAATTTCTAGTCCTGTTCAACTGTCCCTGCTTTGCAAGCAGAGCCTCAAGCCCAACCCACCTTTCTCTGTCCCCAAGGCAACCTTAACCCCACTAATCCTTGGGGAACCTTTACCTCAGGATGCCATCTTACAAGAACCTCTTCCTTCACCTTCCAGGCTGGTCCCCAAGCCTTTCCACACACACGTTTTCCTGGGGAACTGTCAGGGACTAGATATTGCAAGGTTTCAGGGCCCAGCTTCCCATAGTGTAGTTCTGACCTCTAGAAATGTTACTAGGACCCCTGGTCCTGGCCAAGAGTGTGGTGGTCAAGGCCCAAAGGGACAGAGAGTTGACACCTCTCCACAGGCCTCTGCCTCTCTCCCTTCAGCCTCCGCTGTCGCCGCTGCATCATCGTGGGCAATGGAGGTGTCCTTGCTAACAAGTCTCTGGGATCACGAATTGACGATTATGATATTGTGGTCAGGTGAGCTCCCCCAAATAGAGTATTTGGCACCTGCATGTTCTGGCCCAAACCCTAAATCTTGAGAATGTCTGTTGGCTACCCGGGCTAAATATCAATAGTAGCCTCAAGATTGATAGGTTGGAGGGTTTTGAAATGGACAACTAGGTGACCCAGACTTCCATTCTCTATACTTGGGGTATTCTATGGTTGTGGTGCATCCCCAAACACAGTCCCCAAAGCAAGCTCTGACTGAGCCTGCTTTCTATAGACTGAACTCTGCACCAGTGAAGGGCTTTGAGAAGGATGTGGGCAGCAAAACAACACTGCGCATCACCTACCCTGAGGGCGCCATGCAACGGCCTGAGCAATATGAGCGTGACTCTCTCTTTGTCCTTGCTGGCTTCAAGTGGCAGGACTTCAAGTGGCTGAAGTATATCGTCTACAAGGAGAGAGTGGTGAGCTCCCCTGGCACCAGCACCTTCCCTCTTGCCCTGAACTCTGCCTTGGCCTCCCCAGTTTCTAAGACAACCTCCCACTGGAACCCACAAAGAACAAGTAGGAACCTTCAAAAGAAGCATTAATGACCCAAAGCAGAAATACAACAAATTAAACCAAGAGGCAGAGAGGCAAGAAGATGCTAGGGTCCCTGGCCAGGCTTCTCAGGCTAAAATGCCTGCTGTCTGCTACCTGCCTCCAGACATTCAAGGGCAGGCCCTTTCTCAGCTGTTTCTAGCCAGACCCCAACAGCCCCAGGGCCCTTCCCTGGCCTTAGATCCCTAGGGAAGGAAGGTTCTGATCTCTAAATCCAACCTCAGTATTACTCCCAGTCTTCATTTACCATGGTCCTATAGCTGCCTCCTTTTACCCCTTCCATGTTCTGTGAGGGCTCTGATCTTACTGGGTCCTGCCATCTATCTCAGTCAGGGGAGTAAGGCCTTATTGAGGCTACTCTGCAGGAAAGCAGACCCCTCAACTTGAAAGTCCCAGCTCCCAAACTCATAAGTCCAGATCTTTCTGTGCTTCGTTCTTTTACCACTGACCTATAGCTGGACTCCCAACCTGCTATTGAGTCTGGTTCTAGTCTTTGGCTATGATCAGATTCTAGACTCACTATTCTAGGCAGGCAAGTGCCTGGACCCATTTCTTTAAGGAGTATATGTGACAGAGTAGGGTCAGACTGCTCACTAGTAGATCACCCACTGGGCCCTCTTCTGAAACCTCTATTTCCCAGCTCTGGGCTACAGAGACATCTGCCAACTTGTCTGGGTTCATCCCCCATCGCCTCCCATCCAGCCACCCTAGGGGAGGGGTGCTGTAGAGCTCAGGCCATTCATCTTCCAATACTTAAGCCTCTTACCAGAGATTGATGACAGATGGCCCTCTGCCTGTGGTAAGAAGCTAGTTGTTCTTTCTGGAAACTTACAGGAAAGTTGAGGGTGGGAACAGCTTAACCTGCCTGTGGCAGGTCTCGCTGCTATTTGATTTGACTCCACAGCCCAAGCGCAGGCAGTGTCAAGTAGGTAGCAAGGAAGAGAGAAGACAAAAATCAGGTCCAGAAATTCAGGTAGGTGGAACAGTAAGAAAGAAGAGCCCATCTCAGAACTAGGCTGAATGAGGCAGCTGGGTTCTATTGGGGTCAGCACAGCTCCACAAAGGGAAGGAAAGAGCCAAGCAGCAGGGTGCTTATTTGGCTTCAAGCAGGCCTATTTCCCACACAAACCAAGGAGAGAATGGGGGTTGTATGAGCATCCCTCTGTTTCAGAACCTTAGAGCCTGAGATACCTTGTCCCCAGAGCCTTCTGTTTGCCTTGAGGGCAGTAGGATTTTGTTCACAGGTAAATACTTTGAAGAGAGAAATGGAAAGAAATTGGCTCTACTATGGTGAATCTCAGGGGACCTGGGTGCTGCTTTCTCACCCCAGCCCTCTGCCCATCTGCCTCTCTGCCCCTCTCCTGGCTCAGTCTTTCTCTGCTTGTGACCACCTGTTAAAGCTCCATGCCTCCCTTAGAGTAGGGGATCCCAGAGGCTAGAGCCCTAATCCCATTTGCCCCTTGCTGCCCAGTCACTGTAAATGATCTGGAATTAGCTCAAATACCAGTTCCTGCTTCCTACTAGGCAGGCTGGAAAAAGTCAAACAAGGAGAGCAGGCCAGAGGTGGGTAAGGCAGATAGATGTTTCCACTTGTTCCTTCCAAGAGCACCACAGTCAATTAAGTCAAGGCTCTTATGGTTCATCTAATGGAGAAAGAAAAGAAGAAAAGGAGGAAATCATCTAGAGGTAGAAGAAGCAGACAGCAAAACCTTGCAGCTCCCAGGAAAATTGAGGTGCTCCCTGTTGGCTGGTGTTGGTGGCAAGCAGATCAACGTCTCAGAGCAGTGGAATGAGGCAGTGTGAGTGTGCTCGGGTCCCTCCTTTGCCCCATCCTGGCCATTCATAGGGCTTCATGGCCAGACTTGTGTGGGAACTCCTTCCTGGGTGGGAGGGGTGAGTAGAAAGGAGAGAGGAGAGATGAGGAGTAGTTCTCTGAAATCCTTTGGGCCTTTCTTGGTGCCAGAGTCAAGGATGGCTTAACCATTTGGAATGAGCTGCCAAAGGAATGCTAGTAATACCTATGGCCTCACCTTTCTCAGCAACCCAAGTGGACCTGCCTAGACCCTTTGCTGCTCCAGAAGCCCTTTCTCCACCCTAATCCCACAGCTGATGCACTCCCAGGACATCTGTATGTTTTTGTTTTATTTCACTTCTCTGGCCTCTGAGGCCAGGCTGCCTCTTCAGGCCCTTCCTGTCTGGTGCCCTGCCACAGGGCCCAACCACAGGCTTGTCTTGCTCCTGCAGTGATGTTTCTAGCCATGCAACCTCTGGCTATTGACGAGAGCTCTGCACCTGTCTGGAATCTCACCTGCAGAATTCTGGCAGACAGCAGCTCTGTTCTGGAGTCAAGGCCTGAGTGGGCAGGGCTGGAACAGGTACTGGGCCTCAGTCACAGCTGCTTCATGCCATTTGGTATATGAGCATTCCCTTGCAGCATGTACCTTTCAGGTACCCAGGAATCCTGATGATTATGGGAAATGAGATATGGGAAAGGAAAGCCAAACAACCTCTGCCAGGGCTGGCCATACTTATCCAGGTAGAAGCTCTGCTCCTCACCATTTGTGGCCATTTGGTTCCCCATTTCATTGGACAGTAGCACAGGTAACTCCAAACAGGTTACAAAAAGGCCCTTTATCTCCCTGGTCCCAGGAGCTTTGACCAAGCCAGCAAGCAGATATAGTTCTCAGTTAAGGGAAGTCCATGTGCGCTCAGGAGAACATCAATGGTCAGCAAGAAGGGAAGTGAGGCCAGGAGAGAAGGTGGAGCACGGGACATGAGGGTGCAGCTGTATGTAAGTCCTGGTGGGAGAGGGCAGCCTAAGTTCCTGTGAAACTTCTGAGACAGGTCTACAGCTATCCGCATGCACTCCCTTGTCTGCCAGGCATTAGCGAGCTTCTGGCACTGCACTGGCCCTTGGGAATTTAGAAAAAAATTCATCACTGTCCCTAGCCCAGAGTTGCTCACACTCTAATGAGAAAGACAGTCCCAAAACTGGAGTTACTATACAGTTTGGTAAGCACCACAATAGGGAGAAATCTTTGTAGCCCTGGGAGCAGGCAGGTAGGGGACAGGAGAAGGCTTCCTGGAGAAGCACTGTTGAGCTGGACTCTGAAGGAAAAGTTAGAAGCAAGTCAGGTAAAAGATGTTACAAGTAATGGAACAACAGCATATGTGGAAGCCCAGAGTGACCATGTTCCATTCAGGATATTATAAGTAATACTGTATAGACAGAGCAGGTCACAATGCCAGTGATGTATCAGTGTGTGCTGCCAGAATTCTCAGATGCTATGGCCTGTGCATCTTCCTCCTGGTGCTGGGTGAGGCTGGAGATGTCCATCCACTGTCTGGAGGAAGGGGCCTTGGGGTCTGAAGAAGACAGGACAGTACATATGAGAGGCAGAGCTTCCTATCCAGTCACTCAGGCCACAGTTTTTCACTTCTACCAGCCTTTCCTCCTGTGATTCAGGACACCTGTAACCTAGGGCTGTAGGAGTCCCAGGAGCTGCCTTTTCTACCCACTTTGCTTCCTCTTCGTCCCCTGACATCCTCATACTGAAACTGGAAAGCTGGACTCTACTGAGCTGCCTTCCCTCTGCCTGGGCTTGGATCACTGTGACTGTCTTTCTTCCCAGCCTTGCAGGAGATGGAGAAGAAGATGAGGGCTGGGGGTTAGCCCCTGGGCAATCTTGATGCAAGCTTGATCTTCTAGTGGTATCTCAGCCCCTGGGAAGAAGAAGGAAGGGCAAGGTCTCAGAAGCCAGGCAGGACCACACATTGATGCTCAAGGGGACTAAGTCCTTGAATTTGGGAGCAATGACATAGTTTAAGAGGGGAAAAACAGGTGTGCTGGTGTACCCCTGTAATCCCAGCACTTGGGAGGCAGAGGCAGAAAGATTGCAAGTTTGAGGCCTCGTAGGGCTACATAGTAAGATACTGTCTCAAAAATAAATAAATAAAATAAATAATAAAAGAAGGGAAAACAGCTTAGGCTATGGAGTTATACAGACTTGGGTTTAAGTTTAGACCCATCATGTACTCTACTACCTTAGATTGAGTCTCACCTACACAGCAGTAGTGGTACTACTCATCTTGTAAGGTTGTTTTAAAAATTAAATACGGTGAAATAGAGAAGCACCTAGCACAAAAAAACATAGTTAAATTCTAAGTTAAGAGCAGTTACTAATGTTATTTGTTATTTTTTATTATTGTGGTGGTGCTGCTGTTAGCAAAGCCCCATTGCACTTGGGAGTAAAGTATTTTGCTGTGTAGGCTGTAGGGCCTGACCTAGGTGGTAACCTAAAAGCAGGGATCAGAGTCCAAGACCATAGAAAAAGGAAACAAGAGCCCCCTGATGGATGACAACAGGGCTGGGCTAATAGTCTGGGAAATCCACAGGGTAAAACAGGTCCACCAGATCCCCGAATATGAGGCCTTACTATTCCAGGTCCAAGCTGGGGGTTGGATGTCCATCAGCACCTGAGCCTCTACTCTATTCAGGCCTGAGAGGACTCTGCCTAGAAGGAGCCCAATCTGCTAACCTCTGGGGAGACTTCAGAGTAGGGCCCATACTTGGTCTGACTACAGAGCTAGCATTCACAGGCTCCACCCAGTCTCCTTCTGTGGGATCCAACCCAACTTTCTTCTTCATGCCTCTGCCATGAGCCCTCCTGGGATAGCATTTCCTTTACAGCCATCACCAGTGGACACAACCATATCACCCATATTTCTTATTCCCTGCAAAAGCGAGGATTTTATGCTATCTCCCCATGCTATGTGCTAGCCATTGCTCCTCCATCACAGAAAGAAACGCTCAAATGTGGGGCTCCTATGTCATCAGTGCCATCCACTCCTTTAAATCACTGCCATCTGTGACCTCTTGGTCACTCTGGCTTCATAATTTTTGTCACTGTCTTCCTTTTCCTTTTCTTGCCTCTCCTTCTGCTCTTCCTATTCCTCTCTCTTGCTTTATTTCCTACTCTTCTTCCATCATCATCATCATCATCACTGTCATTTATTAAGCTTTTCAGTTCCCCAGTTTTCCTCAAATTCCTTCATCCAGTTCTCATAATGACCCTGTTAGATAGGTACTGTTATTTCCATGGTATAAATGAAGAAACTGAGGCACAGAGAAGGTGAGTTGCTAGCTTAAGGTCAAACAACTAGTTAAGTGGTAGAGATGAAGTTAAATCTACATCTGACTGCCCCAGGGATCTTCATAAGAAATCTAACTACATACCTTTGGCTTAGAATCCTCTGATCAGCTCCTACCTGCCATGGCTTAGGAAAATGCTTAGAGCTACTGTTGGCTGAGTTTCTTCACATGCCAGGCCCTGGGCTACATCATTTGTATGCATTATCTCAGCCAGCTATCTGACAACTCTGAGAGACAGGTACTATGAATACTGGTAAAAGGCAGAGCTACATTTTGAACCAAAAGTGTCTCACTTTAACTGTTGCACTGTAATGTTGATTCATTCATTCAAATCCAAATCAATCACCAAAGTCACATGAAGTCCCATGCTTCCAACATCATTGTACTTATCAGACAACACCCTTCCCTACTTGCTCCACATCCAGCCATTCTAGTACCAGGGATTGAATGTCACTATAAAGAGAGGAATTACAGCTGAGGTTGTAACCTATGTTACCTTATTAGCTCTTAGGGCTGCTTCCTGTTCCTGTGTCCTGTCCCTGTTGGTCAGACTTCTCAGAACTCACCATCTTTAGTTCTGCTAGACCTCCATCCCTGTCCCAAGAAGAAATCTCACATGTAGCTGTGAAAGAGAAATAAAGGTTGCCATCAGTCAAGAACTGTCAGCATTCTGGCCTCTAGTCTACACACTTGCCACCATCTGTCCCTACTTTCCTCCTCTACCATCCTTCCTGGGCTCTCCTGTTCAGGGTCCATTTTCTTCTGGGCCCCAGAGGCCTTCTCTCCTCACCTTCTCAGGAGCTGTCTTCTTTTGTTTGTCTCCTCACCTCTTCACTAAGCCTCCTCTCACATCTGTAAATGTGTTCAGGTCCATCTGTGTCACCTTAAAAATAAAAGCCCTCCCTTTAGCTTGTATTCACCCTCTCTCCTTCCCTTCCAGGTTTCTGGGAGGACTTACCACCTGTCCTAGAACCCCCGTGTTTTCCCCTTCTCTTTCTCAATCTCTCCGGCCTGGTATCCAAACCCATTCCTCTGTTGGAATGACATTCTGATTCTAATTCCAGTGGACTTGACCTCCGCCCTCACCTTAAAGGAGCAACTCATCAACCAAAATCCAGGAAGCATTTACTGTAACCAGGCACAGTGCTAGGTTCTAGGAACAGTCCATTTCTTACAGACCCGTGGCCAAAAACCTGAGAAGCATCCTTGATTCCACCATCTCCTCTGCCCTTTATATTCAATCATTCAGTGCCTGAATCCATGACTCTCCCTTCTACAAAGGGCTTGCTTGGACCACTTCAGCAACTTCCTAACTCCCTGCTTTCAGTCACGTCTTCCTCTAATCTGTTCTCCATATCTCTATTCAGAAGGACCATGCTAAAGTGTCCATGTGACTGGTTCATTCTCTCACTGAATAGTTATCCATTGTCTAGTTGAAAAGGTTCTCCATAATCCTTCTCACACCAGCAGCATCAGTATCACCTGGAAACATCACTTGGGGAGGGGCCCACCTTGGAATGAGACGCTTGAAAGTTAGGCCCAGCAGTCTTTTAACAGACCTTCCAGATGACTCATACAAGCTCAAGAACTATTGGTCTACAGGATAAAATTCAAACGCCGGGGCATTCCTAGTGTCCCGCTTGTCCTTGCCACCTTTTTTTGAGGCAGGGTCTCTCTATGTAGCTCAGCCTAACCTCAAACTCTCAGTCCTCCTGCTTCTGCTTCCTGAGTGCTGGGATTAAAGGTATGTACCACCACACCCAACATCTTTGCCACTTTCTTGCACCCAACACATACACTTCATTCTGTTTGGCCTGCTCACCTCTGCAAGGACTATGTTATACACTCTACTTTTATAAGCCCCTGGGGACAGGAACAATCTTGTTTATCTCTAAGCCCAGCCCTTCCAACAGTGTTTGAAGAATAGTTGGCATACCTAAATGAATAAACATGGAAACTGTGGCCCAAAGTGAGACAGTGACCTCTAGAGAGTCAGAATTCCAGCCCAGTCACAGCTCTTTCCTCTTAATGGAGCTATCTTCTGCTTTCATTGCCCTGGGAGGTGAGTCTTTTGGATTCATCTTCTTACATCCTTTTGCTCTATTCTTGCCTCTCCTGGGAATTTCTTTCCTCTTTGCCATGTTTGATTTTCTTTCTGTAGTTGCAAGATGATTCTCCTTGATAAAGAAATGCAAAGTAAACAGTCCCTAGAGCTTGGCCTCTCTGAGCTATCTGTCAGAATCATGGTCTGCCCCAAGCCAACTTCTGTCTTTGTTCTTTGCTTTTTCCAAATATAGTTTTCAAAAAATTTTTTTTGACATTCTCTTCATAGCATATATCAAAATAAATTCCAAATGGACTAAAAAGTAAAGTATAAAAATATAACCAAAGGAAAGAGGAAAATAGAATAGATATCAAACTTCAGAAGCAGAAAAACTTTTAAGGCACACAAGTGCTAGAAGAAATCAAATTACTTCTATATAAAATCATATATATAAATCATATATAAATTTAAACCAAACAAACAAGATTATACCACATAATTTTAAAAAGTATATTTAGAAATATGACAAGACAAAAGGTTAATTATTAGGTTATTTAAAAAAACTCTATGAACACAGCAGCTAAAAGGCAGAAAATTAAGTATCACACAGGAAGAAAAATAACGAGTAAACTTTATCACAAAGATGTAAATGACCTGCCTAGCAGTTGGAGATACTCATATTAGGCATCAGGGTGCCATTTGTCACCTACCACATTTCAAAGAGTATCCTTTTTTTTTTTTTTTTTTTGGGTGGGACTGGGTTTGAACCCAGGGCTTCATGCTTGTAAAGCAGATGCTCTACCACTTGAGCCACACCTCCAGTCCATTTTGCTGTGGTTGTTTTGGAGATGGGGGTCTTGCTAACTATTTGCCCAGGCTGGCCTCAAACCATGATTTTCCTAATCTCAGGCTCCCAAGTAGCTAGGATTACAGGCATGAGCCACTGGTACCTGCTAAGTGTGTTTAAATTTATAATACAGGACTGGAGATATAGCTCAGTGGTAAAGTACTTGTCTAGCATGCATAAGGCCTTGGGTTCTTCAAAGCACCAGAAAAAAATCAAAATTTATAATACTGGATTTTGGCAAGAGTGCAATGACAGGTGCTTTCAGGGGCTACTGGTCAGAGTGTCCAGTGTCCTGCCCACTGGAGAGAATGCACAGCCACAGGGCCAGTAGTAACTGCATCAGGGAAAGCAAGAGAGTCCAGCCACCCTAACTCTTGGCCTCAGTATTCTTATAGTCCTAGACCCTAACTGGGCTGCTTTACCGGGTCCAGCTTTTTTTTTTTTTTTTTTTTTTTTGAAGTACTTAGGTTTGAATTTGGCCTTGTACTTGCTAGGCAAGCACTCTAGCTCTTGAGCCACACCCCCAGGTCTCCAGCCTCTTGTAGAAGCATGAATGTTTTGGGCACAGAGAATAGCATTGACAAAGCTTTTAGTACTTAGTGAACTGAAAAGAATTCAGTGTAACTAGGGTATGGTGGGTGCAGTACTGCCCTTAGACCTGAGTAGAGAGGTGTCTGCTCTGGCCATCCTCTGGCCATACCTTTTGCCATATAGTGAAAAGGAATATGCAAGGCCCAGAGGCAAATACCCACCCCAAGCCATCTACCTTTGTGAGACCATTATTAGGTCCTGGAGACCTCTAAATCTCTTGCCTTAACAGCACAAAGCTCATCTCCATCCTCCTGAGGCTAAAATGCCCACCCCTTGGCCTCAGAAAGGCTGTAAGCAGATGCTGCAAGCAGAGCTTGGATGTTCAGGGTGAGTTCACACACATGCACAGGTCTTATAAGTCAGAGAAGCCAGGGGCACTCCCTACGTTACCATGGTCCAACAACCTGGCTCTCCAGCTCTTTTTTTTTTGGCAGTACTAGGGCTTGAACTCAGGGACTCGTGCTTGGTAGATAGGCAGTCTACCACTTGAGCCACTCCACCAGCCCTCCAGGTCATTTTAAGAAAGGTTAGACTACATTTAACAGCTTAATAGTTTGATTTATACCTTTTAAATATCTACAGTCTGTGTTTTATGTATTTTGTATATGGATTTATTTATCATGGTGCTGGGGATGGAACCTGGGCCTTGAGCATGCTAGGCAAGCACTTTACCACTAAGTTACACCTAGTCTTAGAGTCCAAATTTTAGACATGTGGTATGTGGCCATCCATTTATAATATTTCCCTTCCTCTACAAAAGACACACCACTGCATGGATGTGGTGTCAATATCTGAATATACAGGGGACAGAGGGTAGAGGGTCTTATAATAAGCCAAAGCCACATCAGGACTAATAATAACAGAAGCTAACAAAAGCTGACTTTGAGCTAAGCGTTTTATATGCATGATTTTTAGCCGTCATGACATAAAACTGTAACAAAGTAGGAAATAGTATCATTACCCTTATTTTATAGTTGAGGAAAATGAGACTTAGAAAGTATAAAGAATGGCCTCAGGGCACAGAGTGAGTAGTTGGGGTGTCAGGGTTCAGACTCAGACCTACACTCTTAGCTGCCAACACAAGCTGTCTCAGAGGGCATTGATGGGCCACTGAAGACTATTTGAGAATATAAGGTCAAACCCATGCAGGGAAGTGAGTGAAGTGATGGAAGGCAAGATGGCAGTTGTTAGAAGGACCCCATGATTGCTGGTTGCCTGTCTTAAGACAATAGCAGAGGGCAACATGAGGAGTGAACACATCTGCCCTACTCTTGCATGTAGAAAGCCAGCCCTTGACTTCTCTGCCCCAACTCCTCAGGAACAGAATCCTTCCAGGGAAACTGATGGGGAGACACTTTCTTCCTTTCCTCCCACATCTTTCCCTGTTGCTCCTGGCTGTTCTGACAAGAGCAAAGCAGGTTGCATCTGCAGGAGGCTGGCAACTCCACACAGAGAAGCAGGTCCAGACTTGACTGAGGCAGGGGCATTCCTGGAGGAGGAGGAAGTGACAAGGAATGCAGCCAACAGCTCCCTTGAGGAGATGTGTGACACTGCAGGGCTAGAGGCATTGATAGGCCTGATAGGCCTCAGAGTTGTGTCCTATATGTGGGAGAAATGAGATGTGAGAGGCTATAGGCCAGATTGGGACCCTGCAGGATGCAAGCCTTTGGAATAGGACTGTGTGCTGGTGATGGGTCTGGCAGTGTCACCCAGCAACAGGCAGGCCTCCAGAGCCCACTGCCTGCCTGCAGGAGCCAGATGTTAAAGGTGGCTCCTCCCACTCAAGACCTGGATCTGCGCAGGTGTGCAAGTGTGCTGGCCCTTCTGTGGTGGCTGACTTCACTAACTACACCCTCTACTTCAATCTCTTGGCTTCTGCAAAATTCAGTCATAAGATTTATTGAGCTCTCACTGTATACCAGACACTGCCAGATGTTATAAAACACATAGCATCTCATTTAATCCCTTAATTCTCTGGGAAGTCAGCCTTGTCATTCTTGTTTTATGCAAGAGGAACTTGAGGCTTAAAAAGATGATGTGATATGCCCCAAGTCACAGAAGTGTAGAATCGAGATGCAAGCCTTGGTTTTCCACACAGCAAAGCTCCTGCAGTGGTATGCAAAATGTTGTGTCTGTGCCCTTGTACACTTTTCTGAGAAGAGCCATGTAGTTTTTGTTGGTTGCTTGGTTGGTGTTTTAGGAGGCAAGCTGAGGTTTTGTTGGTATCTGGGTATTTTTATGGCAGAAGAAACACAGAAATGCTCAAATCACATATTGATCTTAGTGTTCTTCCTTTCCCTGAAATTCCTGTGGAAGTGCTGTCACAGGACAGCAACTGATGGGAAGGAGTAGAGGAAGCACTGAAGTGTTGACTGTGCTAGTCCTCAGTTCTCTAATGTGGGGCTCCCTGGGCCTGAGCCCTAAGGGCCCCAACACTACCCTCAGCCACTGCCAAGCTGCCAGCCCCAAAGCAGTACAGACTTCAGAGCAGGAGTAGAAAGGAGCAGGGACAGAGAGAGGTCACCTGATCCCAGGAGATAGGCCCTGCCTCAGCTTACCTAATGTTGCACAGAAGCAGGAGATCAAAAAGTGCTGTGTGTGTGTGTGTGTGTGTGTGTGTGTGTGTGTGTGTGTGTGTGTGTATTGACACACTCCATATCCTTAAATCTAAGCAGTCATTTCTCGTTTCAGGAAAGATTAAAAGTGGGAAGCAGTAGCTTTCCCTCTCCACTGGAGCTTTCTTCAGATTTTCAAAGGGATTTCAGATAATAAGCTAATTTCCTCCAGTTTCACAAGGCCAAGAACCATTGTTTTGATGATGGCACCTCCTATCTTGGGAAGAACCGGGCTTGAGAGTCTAATGCAATTCACTTTGCCAGCTGCGTGTGCACCCTGGCAAGTCCCTTCCATAAAATTGGTGGTGGAGGACTAAGTGACACCCCTGACTCACCTTAGAGCTCTTAGAAGGCAGAGGGGAGGTGTCATTCATCTTTGGTTCCAAGCCCCAGACTTCCTAAGGTAGAAACAACAGTGATGATATAGATGACATGGTAGAAAGAACACCCCTCTTGGAGCCAGGACACCAAGATTTGAATCTAGGCACAACCACTTGCAGGCATGTGACTTTGAATATGTTATTTCAGTTATACCTGTGAAGGGGAAAAGATATAAATAATATCTAGGAAACCAGCCTTGCGCCACATTAACCCCCAACTGTGCCCATTCCTGACTCTCCGTGCCCCTCCTGAGCTGCCGCTGCACTTTCTTCCTCCTCTTTAGGTGTGTGGGAGCATGGGCAGGCACAGGCAGGAGCTCCAGTGGGGAACTATTGGGGCCTGCCAGGCTCCAGAGAAAGGACAGGGCTATGCTACCTTAACAGGTGCTGGCACCTCCCACTCCTAGACGTCCATACAAGGCTGGCCATACCCAAGATGTCTTGGGTCCCTCCCTAGTTCTACCTAATGGCTGGGCCATTTCTCCCCTTCCTATTCCTACTGTATCCTGCTAACTCTACCTTTATCTTCCTTACACACCTCTATCCCAGACACCCAAAAAAGGACATGGGAGCAATATGAACTGCTGTCTGCTCACTCAGTCTGATAGGCTGAGACCCAGAAGGTGGTCCCAAGGGCCTGTCCTTTGAGCTAATTAGTGGAGGACAGAAAGTATCTGCCAGAGAAAGAGCTCTTGCCACAGAGGAGGAAGTGACTGGAGCAGAAGTCCACTGAAGGGGCAGCAGCCAAAAGGACAGAAGAGGTACTTAAGTAGGGGGCTGTTCACTGCTCTTGAGGCCAGTGGAGAATCCTTGGATGGATGTCATGTCTCCTCAGGAACCACTCCCTGCCACTGCTGGACTGGACCTGGGCCTCACAAATGGGAACCCAGCCCTGTGCGGTGCAGGGGCTCAGCACACTGCTAATGTGGATAGAAATTGAATTGTGTCATTTAATTCTCACAGTAGCCCACAAGGTAAATAATAATAGTGTCCCTAGTTTATCCATAAGGAAACTGTATATTCCTTGCCCAGGGTATCCACACAGTAAGTGACCACAGTTAAAGATGAATCCCAGGACCAAAGGTGTTAACTCTGTATTTCATCATTACCTCTCAAAGGTTTGTAGTCAGTTCTGCCTTTTTTGTTTTGGGATGTAGGAGATCAGGAAAGATGAGTGAGAGGCAAGTGCTGAGTAGAAGGGGAGGGTATTAGAGACAAGGCCCAGCAGCAGAAGCATAGAGGTGTGAATTAGCTAGTGGTGATTTCAGACGGGCAAAGATTGAAATTAAAGGGGCAGCCAGGGCTGACTGTGGGCAGAGATGATATGATCTGATATGTATTCAGAAAGATCATCCTGGCATAGTGGAAAGTGGTTTGGGAGGCAAAAGTAACCCATTCTGAATGCTCATTATGTGTGTATTAAATAAGCAAATGAATTCAGATTACTTATTGTGGTCCACTTATTCTAGTCACTTTGCTGGGTTTTGGGGTGACTTGACAGTCATGACAGCAGATAGAAGGTGATAAGACCTGGACCTGAGGTGGCCAGCAGTATCTTTGGGGATAAGGCGTGAATCTGTGAGTTTCTAAAGACAAAACCCAAAGAAGTAGATGATGAGATGGGTTGAGAGTAGAAGGGAATCTAGAGCTCACTCCCAGGTTTCTGGTTTGGAAGAAGAATGAACATGGAGGAAAGGGACACAGGATGAAGAATAGATCTGGATAGGTTACATAAATTGTGACATAAATTTACCACAATAAATTATTGGTTATGTGTGTCAATGTGATAAAATTCTTACAAAATGTAATTTCAGTGTCTATGACATTTCCTTTTTATCATGTATCACTTAACCAAACCTCAGTTGTAAACTTCTGGGTTTTTCTGGGGTTTTTCTTTTACAAATAACACCATAATAAACAGACTTTTACAAAGGTCTTCACCATGCTGATTACTTTTAAAAGGAAAATCTGGTAGTCATAAGGTATAAACAGTATTGAGGCCTACTGTCAGATTGCCTTTTATAGAAAAGCTGTACTAGATATGGTAGTACATGCCTGTGGTTCCAGCACTCAAGAGATGAAAGCAAAAGGATTGGGAGTTTGAGGCCAGCCTGGGCTACATAGCAAGACTCTCTCTCAAACAACAACAAAAATGACTGGCAGCATAGAATTCTACCTCAGCATAATACCACCAGCACTGAGGCATATACATAGACACATATATGCGTACCTTAGTGAGTAAAAAATGGTATCTGGTTATTTTAATTTTGCATGTCTTTGTAACTGCTGAGCTAATTTGCACTCTGCCACTTGAGCCAAATCCCCAGCCCTTTTTCGTGCTTCTTAACCTTTTTTTTTTTGTCTTCTGCCAATTTTTATGGGATCTTATTGACGTTTCATGAGTGTTTATTTTGGTAGGATTGGGGTTTGAACTCAGGGTTTCATACTTGCAAAGCAGGTATTCTACTGCTTGAACCACATCTCCAGTCCATTTTGCTGTGATTATTTTGGAGATGAGGTCTTGTGAACTATTTGCTTGGGCTGGCCTCGAACCTCCATCCTTCCTATCTCAGTCTCCCAAGTGGCTAGGCTTACAGGCAGGAGCCAATGGCACCCAGCTGACTTTTCACAAGTTTTTAAAACATGAATTTCTAAAGAAAACAAAACTTATGAATTTCTTATTTGTGACAAACATTTCACCATTTTTTTTGTTTCTCCTCTTAATTTTGCCATATATCTATGTATCTATCTTATCTATCCATCTATCTATCTATCTATCTATCTATCTATCTATCTATCTATCTTCCTATCTATATATATTTTTTGTCTTTTTTAGTATTAGGGCCTCAGGGTCTCATGCATGCTAGGCAAGTGAATTTTGTTCTGTGTGTGTGTGTGTAACTTTTTTTTAGTGCTAGGGATTGAACCCAGGGATTTGTGCATGCTACCACTTGAGCTACACCCCCAGCTCTCTTGTTTTTGACATAGGTTCTTGACACTACCTTTGCTGGGGCTGGCCTCAAACTCTACATCCTTCTGCTTCTGCTTCCTGAGTAAGTAGAATTACAGGCCTGTGCTACCATGCCAGATCTTTTTTCTTTTTCTTTTTTTTTTTTTTGGTGGGGGTATGGGGCCTGGGAGGTTGAACTCAGGGCCTCACACTTGCTAGACAGGTGCTATATCATTTAAGCTACACCCACAGCCCTTTTTGCTCCATTTATTTTTAAGAAAGGGTCTCACTTTGTGCCACTAGCCTAGACTAAGATCCTCCTATTGGTGCTTCCCTACAAGCTGGGATAACAGACCTGTGCCACCACACCCAGCCATTGGTTCATTGAGGGTCTTGCAAACTTTTTGTCCCGGTTTGCCTTCAACCTTGATCCTCCCAATCTCTGCCTCCCAAGTAGGTAGGATTATAGGCTTGAACCACACTAGGCTTTTTTCTTTCTTTATGCTGTTGCATTAAGCTTGGAAGTTCAGTAATAAAATATACATCTAAAGTTTCTTTTTACTTCTTTTTAAGTAACAAAGTAAACATTTAGTTACTTGGAGAGGAAGAAGTAAATGCACCTTTTTCCCAAACAGTAAATCTTCACATATCACTTGTTCCCACTGATGGTAGAGTTTCCTTTATCGTAACCTGTACATATTTTGAACCTCTTCTAATGATCTTTGTCTTCATTCTTACATATGTATCATGTTGCAATAAACACAAGTACATAATACATCCTAATACCTAATTTTTTAGTTGGAGGGTATTATTTTTATCTTTTAATTTTGGATAGGTTTTTAGAATCACTCATAAAATTTTCAAAAATCCTGGAGTTGGGGATTGAGTTCAGTGGAAAAGCACTTGCCTAGCAAGTACAAGGTCCTGAGTTTGGTCCCCAGCACCAAAAAAAAGAAAAAAATTTTTCAAAACTCCTATGGGGGTTGATTTTAGAATGATGTTAAGCCCATACATTAAGCTGGGTGAAGTTGGTATTGTGTTAATATTCAAATCATATCCAGGAATATGATTTGTCTTTCACATTTTTTAAGTCATCTATGTTTCAATAAAGGATTATAGTTTTCTTGTAAATCTCACAAATTTCTGAAGTTTATCTCTGTGTTTGATTTTCTATTAGATTGCAAATGGGCTCTCTTTTTATTATATCTGGTGATTGTTTCCTCTTGGTGTACTAGATTGTCTTACCCACTCTTTAGTTGATTCTTTTGGGTTTTCTATGCAAACAATAAGCTTTCAGGAAATAACAGTCCGATTGGATCCCATGGTAATGCCTCCAGCCAGCAGTGTAGAGGAAGAATGGATTGACAGCAAGGTCAGGGTTTCCTTGTGTAGGGCAGGGGCAGGATATCGAAGGAGCACACAGGAGAATAGTTTGATTACCTTTAGGGTCTAGACCAGGAAGGACTGGGAAACTAGAGCTCTCCATGTGGGTAGGCAAGAGGAAGGGAGAGGGTTAAAAGGAGAGGAATTGTGACCCTGGTACAGACACTAGCATGTCAAGTTTCAGAGGTAATGCCTTTCTGGTATGGGACTAATGATCTCATCCTCCAGTTAACCAGACTGAAGTCACCCAACTCTGGTCAGTGGCAGACCTGGGATCTAAGTGTTGTTCTGCTGTACTGTGCTAGCTCATGTTCTGTCTTTATTTTTCAGGTTCACTTTAGCACAGTTGACTGAGAGCCAGGAGAGACAGCAGAAGGGGAAGGAGGCGAGTTCAGCAGAGCAGATAGGCGAGGGAGGACGGGCTCCTGGTGGGCCCCTCAGCTGCTACAGTGGGGAGGTGGGATAGCTGGACCCTTGGGTCTTCCTGTTAGCCCAGAAACACTCCTCAGGCCACAGCAGCACTCCAGACAATGCCTCACACCCTGTGCTCTGCCCTGCAGCTCATTTTGTGTCCTTCATTCATACATGCTCCCCCACATGCTCCCCCTTCACCATCATTTACCCAGGTCTCTGTCATACATTCCATGTCCCTTACATGCCATGGCCTTCCTCTACCATGTGGTTTATACCAGAGGCCCCAGGTTGCCCTTTTACATTCTCCCACTTCATTTCTCATTTACCTGTACACACTTTGAGTCCCTTCCATCAACCAGGTCCATCATCAGGTGTGTGCCCAGCTCATGTCCTCTTATGCTGTGTCCACAGAGTGCATCAGATGGCTTCTGGAAATCTGTGGCCACTCGCGTGCCCAAGGAGCCCCCTGAGATTCGCATCCTCAACCCATATTTCATCCAGGAGGCTGCCTTCACCCTCATCGGGCTGCCATTCAACAACGGCCTAATGGGACGGGGGGTAAGACTCTTGGGCTCCTATAGGAGGAAAAGGAAGACTGGACAGAAGTGTCTTGGAAGGAAAGAAGGGGTGGCAGGGTGGGTGGCAGTGGGAAGAGTTCATTCTTAAAAATGGAGCTCTCAGCCCAACAGTAGAACTCTATATGCCTCCTCTCCTCCCCTCCTCCAGAACATCCCGACCCTTGGCAGTGTGGCAGTAACCATGGCACTACACGGCTGTGACGAAGTGGCAGTTGCAGGCTTTGGCTACGACATGAACACGCCCAATGCACCCCTGCACTACTATGAAACTGTGCGCATGGCAGCCATCAAAGAGGTTCGGGTTTGGGCTTGGGCCAGTCCCTGGGCAGAGCCAAGGGAGGACAGTCTCTGATTGCATGAGGATAAATGAATGCTAAAGGGATGGGCCAGCAGCTGCTCTGGCTATACAGCACTCCAAGAAGGCCCTGCCCAACCTCAGTTAAACAGTCACTGGAGGTTCACCCTGCATGCAGGCCTCCGACCAACAGTGTCTTGTATACTCCTCTCCCAGCTTCTCCCAGAACCCAGTACTCCATTCGTCAGCCTTCTTCCTGGAATCCCCCTCCAGAGGACCCTCCCTGCCCTTGCTACACCCAAGTCATCACATACTAGTCTTGGTATCAGCTCAGATCATACTCTTCTGTGATCCCTGCCTTACCCCTCACAAAGCCCATAAGTAAGCATTGCCTGTCCCACACTGTACCTTCTCCACCCTTCCCTGTGGCCAAGAACAGATGCTCTTTATCACACAAAATTGCTCCCAGGCAATAGAATATGCAGGTGGGTTTCCAGTTCTCCTAGACCAGCAGTCAGCCTCTCCTGGCATCTCTCCCTCCACAGCCAGGATCCCACAGGGAAACTCTAAACCTTCTTCATATACCTTAGTTTCTACTACAGCCTCCCACTGACCCCAACCTGAAGGCTGGAGATCTTGGGCCAGTGCCTTGAACAGCTTCTCTGTCCCTACATATGGGTGCCTGGAGCTGGCTGAAAAATTTCTCATCTGCGCAGATTCATATTTTTGTAAATCCAGGGGCTCTGGTTCCCACTAGCCCTCACTGCTGCTCATCTGTCTCTTTACCTGACCCTCTCTGGTCCCTACCATACTATTCCTGAACCTCATACTCACAAGCTCTTGGTCATTATCCCTCCTCCAGAGAGAAAACTGAAGCCACACGGGGGCTTGGGCTCCCACTGGAGCATTCCTCACCCCCATTCAGCCTTTCATCCCTACACCTGACATGACTTCCCTCAAGGTCACCAGCAACCTGCTTCAAGACTACCAAATCCAGTGGACATGCATCATCTTTTATGATCACTCAGAAATATTTTTTATGTTGACCACTTCTTCCTGCTTACACTTCAGTAATTTCTTGTGTTCTTTTATTTTATTCACCCTCCTTTTCTCTTCCTCATGTCCAGTTTTGGTCCACTTCTGAAGCTAAGACTCCAACCAGTATTCATACTCTATATCCTCCAAATTTACAGCCTCGTCCCCATCCACAGCTCAGTTACCATCTATATTGTATTAGACTTTTTGTTGTTGTTGTTCTATCTTAGTCTAGTCCAGCAGCTATAAACAATACCATAGATTGTGTGGCTTTGTGTGTGTGTGTGGTACTGGGGTTTGAACTCAGGGCGTCATGCTTGCTGGGCAGGCGTTCTACCACTGGAGCCACACTCCAGCCCTACTGTGTGACTTTTAAAGAGGAGACATTTATCTCTCACAGTCATGGAGGCTGGGAGTCCAAGGTCAAGGCAAAGGTGTCTGGTGAGGATCTCCTTCCTAGCTCACAATGGCCGTCTTTGCATTGTGTCCGTACATAGTAGATGAGGTGTGGCAGTCCTCCTGAGCTTCTCATAAGTCACTATTGTGACTTCTTATAAGTGGCTATTGTAGGGAGTATAACTGCTGAATGTGATGAGAATGGTTCCAAAGGTGTAGGTGCATGCAGGTGCTGTCTCCAGATGCAGAGGTGAAGGGAGGGGAGAGGCTGAGCAGTAGCTGGAAGTTGAACCAATTCCTACAGTGATTCTCTGCCACACGGCCAAGAAATCTGGGCTGGAAATAGAGACTGAGCTGAAGCACAACTGCTTTCTCAGAACAAGAGCATGACAGACCTCCCAGAGAGAGAATAGCAAGTAAAAAGTTCAGATAGTTGGGTCAAAACCTTAGGACACCAATATTAAATGGCTGCATGAGGAAAGAGGAACCAAAGAGAGAGACTGAAAAGGAGTGGTGTGAGAAAGTCCCTGCTGAGAGTGTGGACTGAAGTGGTGGGCACCTGCAACCAGAGTCATGCCCAACCCACAGCAGTGTAGAGCTCTGGGAGGTTCCTAAATTGTCTGAATGAAAGGGAGAACTAGGAAAAGAGCACCAGACAGGGAGCATTGCCTGGTCCAAGAGCTACTCCCCCAGGACAGACTTTTGTGCCTACATTTTCATTAAGAAAAAAAAGAAGAAAATATTCATGAACAAAGAAAGTAATATACCAGACTTCCATGTACCAGTTATCAACACATAACCAATATTGTTTGGTCTGTTCTTACTGATTACTTGGAAACAGGTCTCAGATATCATGTCATTCTGGCCATAGTTTATTCAGTTACTCTGAAGAGTAGTTTTTTTATTGTCACACACCCAAAAAGTTAACCATAATTCCTTATGTCATCAAATATCCAATCTCTTCTTACCTGTTAACACTCAGTGACTCCTAGTGGGTGCTATTGAAAGTGACCCATCATTTGGTTACTACTTCCCAGGGGAAGGAGGAGGTGTGGGATACGAACAGAATTTAAAATGCACACACACACACACACACACACACACACACACACACACGGAACATTTCAGGAATTTGCGTGTCATCCTTGCACAGGGGCCATGCTAATCTCTGTATCGTTCCAATTTTAGTGTATGTGCTGCTGAAGCAAGCACAGGAATAGAATTTTATGAGTTTCTGCATTTGCTTGAATCCTGACCCTCTGAGCCTGTTTTCTTGCCTATAAAACCTAATTTCCTTCAACAAATCTTTACCGGGCACCTACTCTGTGCTAACAGTCCCTGCTTTCTAAAAGACAGCAAGCCAGATTCTTTAATTTTCAAATGATGGGGGTGAATTACCCAGGAGCCTACAACAAGGGACAATTTGCAGATGCAATGACAGAATGTAATGACAGGAGCCTCCAAGGAGCTGGTTTTCATAACCCCTAGAAGCAGGACAAAGAGTGAGGGAGACCTGCCCACCTGAGGTGCTATAGAGAGTGAGGAAAGAAACCAGCACCACAAGAAGTTGAAGGGAAGTACAGAGCAGAGGAATGTAGGGAATCTTGCTGATGACTGCTTGTGTTTCAAATTGCAAAGATTTAGAAGGTTGGAGAAGGTTAAGTGGACCAGAATGGCTAGGCAGAGCCCAGGTTCTCAGCACCAGTAAATAGTGGCTGTGAGTATAGGTATGATGTAACCAAGAAGCCAGTTGGGCACAAACCATGACAAGGCCATTGACATTCATTCACTCAAGCAAGCCTTTGCCTTCTTTGAGAGAGACTTAGCCATCTAAGCTTCCTAGTAAGAGAACTGGGGCTTAGAAAAAACCCTATCCTAGAAGCCCTAGAAGGTAGCATCTTCCCTGTAATTTCCACATTAACAGTTAGAATGGCTTATTCTAGCTGGGTGCTGGTGACTCATGCCTGTAATCCTAGCTTCTCAAGAGGCAAAGATCAGGAGGATCATAGTTTGAGGCCAAACAGTTCATGAGACCCTATCTTGAAAATACCCAACACAAAAAAAGGGCTGGCAGAGTGACTCAAGTGGTAGAACACCAGCGTGAAGCCCTGAGTTCAAACCCTGGTATTGAAAAAAAAAATGGTTTCTTCTAACAATTTTAAAATATGCAATACATTTTTATTAACTCTAAGTTAAATGTTCTCACCACAAAAAAATGGTAAATAATGTTAGGTGATAGCTGTGTTAATTAGCTTGGCTTAAACAAGTCCATAATGTATGCATAATATCAAAACATCACACTGTATCCCATAAATAGATAAAATTATTATTTGCCAATTAAAGATAAAAATTTAGAGCTAAGCAGAACACCTGTAATCCCAGCACTCAGGGTATGGGGTAGGTGGGGTAGGTAGTAGGATCAAGAGCTTGAGGACAAGCCAGGAGCAGTGGCTCACACCTTTAATACTAGTTACTTGGGAGGCAGAGATAGAGAAGGATTGCTCTTGAAGGCCAGACCAGGCAAAAAATTCCAAAGGCCCTATCTCAACCAATTTTTAAAAAAGCTGGGCACAGTGATTCTTGCCTGATACCCTAGCTATGTGGGAAGTATAAATGGAGGATTGAGGTCCAGACTGAGCTGGGCATAAATGTGAGCCTCTTTGAAAAATACCTAAAGCAAAAAGGGGTGGGGTCATGGCTTAAATGGTAGAGCACCTGCCTGGTGAACACAAGACCCTGAGTTCAAACTCTAGTACCAAAACAGAGTTTGAGGGCAGCCTGAGCTACATAGCAAGACCCTGCCTCAAAAATAAATACACGGGTTTTTTATTATGTATGTATTTGTTGTTGCAATACTGGTGTTTGAACTCAGTGCCTCATGCTTATTAGGCAGGTGCTCTACCATTTGAGACATTCTTCTGGACCATGGGTTTTTGTTTTAAAAAAAAATTAGGCTCTGCTCATTAGGCTCCCTGACTCCTATGGTAAGGGAGGCAGAATTTCGTCAGCTGCCCTAGGCCTGAAAAGGGAATTGCATCAGGCCAAAGAATGACTTTGCACCCCCTTGCTATTGGATTGAAGTGACTCACGTACCTGCCCTCGGGTGTCTAAAACCTAGGTGCTGCCAGAGGAGCCATGGGTTGAATGTGAGGAAACAAGGCCCTGTCTCCAGCACTGAAGAGGGGCCTGGGAAGCTCAGATTGCCCAAAACTTGAAAGAAGTCAGCAACATAGTTCTGCCGGGATGATAGTGGGAAGCAAGGGTTATTCTCTGAGTCTTGGGAAGGGGATGGATTGTAGCATCCTGCAGCAGGGTCCTCATAGTCTTGTAAACATGATGGATGACAAGTGTGTCTGCATGCAGATTTACACAATCACAGAGCTATTGCTGCAGGGTGGTGACTGGAAAAGAACAGAGCAGGGCTGTATCACATCTAGTGACTTCTCCATATCTTCCTTTCTAGTCTTGGACACACAACATCCAGCGAGAGAAAGAGTTTCTGCAGAAGCTGGTGAAAGCACGTGTCATCACTGACCTAAGCAGTGGCATCTGAGTGGGCCCAGCACTTGACCACAGAGGCTCAAGAGCTACCAGGAGCAAGCAGCAGCCACTTGCACAGGAGTCTTCAGACCCAGAGAAGGACAGTGCTAAGGGGTCCCAAAGGCAGTGAGGCCTTGGCAGGGCAGCCAGAGCTGTGCCTGCTCAAGGCCAGCCTCAGAGACCAGCACTCAGCCTCTCAGTCTGAGTCTGTGAAGCCAGAGGGCCAGGAGGCCACTGGCTGTGCCCAGCAGGCCCAGCATGCAGGAGGTGGGACATTAGGCAGCAAGACTGCTGTCGGAATCATTTCTCCAATCAGTGTTTGGTGTATTATCATTTTGTGAATTGGGATGCGGGGAGGGGGGTGATAATTTATTTTTAAATAAGGTTGGAGATGTCAAGTTTGGTCCACTTGCTGTGCAGAAAGATGCCCTATAGAGGGCACATCAGGCAGTGGTACCAGTGAGCTCCCTGGAGGGTAGGAGTGCCATGACCAGCCTGTGCCCCACTTAGGGGACACAGGGAGGTTGAGCAACTTCTCATGCCAGCCCCCTCCAGCTCATGACACTGTTTGACCTTTCCTGGAGAGAAGATGGAGTTTTTCCTACTCACCAACCCCCAGCTGCCCCATAGGGAAACTCTAGAGCCATTCCTTCAGAGCCAATAAGACAGCCTCTGGGGTAAAGCACAGAGAACTTGAAAGCTCAGGAGGCAAGGCCCAATCCAGCTTGATAATGGCTCCCTTCTCCAGCTGCACTGACCCGGAGGATAGTACCCCTGCCTGGACTGACTGACTTTTCATATACTATGGGTTTCCACAATGAGACTGCCAGGTCCTTGGGTTCTGCGTTTAGCCTGGACCTGAGGAAGTAAGGCCCAAGGACTTTACCCAGGCCATGGCAGCCATCTCAGGCAGCCCTTATAGAAGCAATAAAGCTCTTCCCTGAACATGGTTTCCTTTTGCTTTCTCTGATTCTTCTGGAAGAAACAGGAACCAGGGCCTCAGCAACTACAGTAAACCTAAGCCCACATTCCTAGGTTCCTTTCACTTCATGTTTAAGTATGGAACCTGGGTAGCCTCTGGAACTTCTCCTGTCCACCACAGCCAGTCTCTTTCCCTTAAAAGAGACAGACTAGCTGTGGCACAGAGAGGTCTACAGATCATCATTCCTGACACCCTGGTTCCACTCTGAAAAGATGTCCCATCTGCACCATTAACACATAGGCATGCTCTATCCTTCCAGCTCCCCTCTTCCCCACACAGTAGCTAGGCATATAGCCCAGCCCTAGGCACCCCCTAGGGTGCTTTAGAAAGGACATCCACCCCACCTCACACCCTGAGAGCCCAGCAAACATAGGCAGGCCTGAGAATAGTCCAACTTATACCTACTCTTGAAGCCATGAAGGACACAGACATTGGCACTCTGGTAGTAAGTGGGATGTCTGGCTCCTGCCTACCCTATCCCAGAGTCTATGAAGCCCCAGGCCTTCTCCTGGTGAGCCCCCTAAGGACATAAGAGTCCTGGCCATTCCAAGAACCACCGACTTCCCAACTTTCCACTTTTCTCCTATACACCCTCCTTGCTGTTGGGGACTATTCCTCAGGCAGAAGCCTCCTTAGCTAAGAATTAAGGCCCTGTCAGGGACAGGCAAACCCAGGAACACCCTCCTTACCCTCCTGGAAAGACCCCTCCCATGTACAATTCCAGTATAACAACTCCTGTCTGGATGATGCCCAGTAGAGTTGTACAGGGCCTAGGCTGCCTGTGAGTGGTGGTCCTCACTGAAAAAGCCCCAGGGAAGCTGGCCTTCTGTCCCATGGAGTCCTGTTGAGCCTGTGAACAGTCCCCACCACCAGCAGCAAAGTACCTCTGAAGTCTGATTTCAGTCCTCAGCACTATACTAAACTCCTCTAACAAACCCTGTGGTTCTGAGCCCTGGCAGTCTACCAAAATCATCTGTGCAAATCTGGAAAACTACCTGCTACCCCCAGATTCTGATTCAGATGTGGGGTGGGGCCCGGATGTGGGCAGTTTTTAAAGATTCAGTGGTTCTGATGCATAACCAGGGTACAGCTGGTCCATACACGTTCCCTGAGCACTCTTGTCCCCACCCACAACTTCCAGTTATGTGTCAGTTGGTCAGCAAATCCCAAATTGGCATTGCCACCCCAACTCTCTACTTTGCTCCAGGCTACAAACTCAGCTGCTTTTAGAACATTTCCACTAGAAGAATATACAAGCCCTTGCAACTCACCATGTCCAACACTGAACTCCTGAGCTACTGCCCCCAACCTGTGTCATCACCCCCTCCCAGGGAGCCCCTACTCCCAAAATGCATCTGCTCTGGTATGTCCTGTCAGTCACCAAGGCCAAAACTAAAGACATACCTTTGTCAATTCTACATCCTCACCTCATCCAATCAGGCACCAATTAAATTTTCAAAAGGGTAAGTAAGGGACTAGGCCTGTGCAGCCCCAGGCTCCATCCTCTGTCCCCAGCAGCCTCCTGACAGTACCTCCACCTCCCTGTCTTGTCTCTAAACCATTCTTTGTCACCTGACCACACCATTCTGCTTGGTCCCCAGTGTCTTTAGGATAAAGTCCAGTCTCCTTAATGGGCCCTTTCCAGCCATACAACTCACCTAGCCCTCAGGCACCTGCCAATTGCCATAATTAGTCACCCGAAATGCTACCCTCTAGCTCCAACTTCAAGCCTCAGCTCCAATCTTAGTCCTTCACCTACTTCCACCAGCACTGCCTTCACTATTTGGCAGTGACCTTGGCCTTTGTACGTGCTGCCCTCCTACCAGCCCAGATGCTCAGTAGGGGAGCAGTGGAATGGACAACTCAGACCTTGAAAGCCCAACGTAGAACATCGTCGCGCTGAGACGGATGATCGGTCAGTTGAGAAATCAACTAGCTGGGGGGTCCCAGAGTGGACAGCTGTCGCTGCAGGGAGGCCAGCCAGGACCCTCACGTCTGCAAGACCAGCCGGCGGCCAAAGCAGGGACCGCCTGTCCCTCTCTGTCCGCCCGCCCTCGTTCATTCTCTCCCGCCCTCGGCCCGGCCTCCCCGCTCCCTACTTCGCGTGTCTACAAACTTCAAACTCCCAGTTTCCGCGCCTCCGCAGCCTGCGTTCTCTACTCTTTGTATCCCGAGATCTTCTCCCAGCCTCTACCCTCCACCTCGGGGGACCTAGCTGAGCCAGTGGGGACTGGATCCAGCGGGTGGAGCGGCCAGGTGAGCCCTGAAAGGTGGGGCGGGGCGGGGGCGCTCTGGGCCCCACCCCGGGATCCGGTGACGCCGGGGCTGGAATTTGACACCGGACGGCGACGGGCAGGAGGCTGCTGAGGGATGGAGTTGGGCTCGGCCCCCAGACACGGCCCGCGGGCCCTGCCAGCAGCAAGTCCCTCGGGGCCCAGCCCTTGCTGCGACTGTGGCTCGGAGCCCCGTACCAGAGGTAAGTAAGCCAACCCACTTGCCCATCCCCTGAATGGACGCTCCTGGGGCTGGGGGAAGGGGCAGGACGGTCTTCCTCCTCTTTTTCTCTCATCCTCCCTCTCCTGGGCCCTCAGCACAGCTCTCTGCCCCTCCCAGCCCCTCCAGTCCCTCTTTTCGCTTGTTGGACTGTGTTAGCCCTGCTGGCCCGCTGTAATGTGAGGCTCCCACTGCCGCTGCAGGGTACGGACTGGCTGCCAAGGCCCCACTTTTGTCTAAAAGAGGCGCTGCCAGGTGCACAGCCCGGGGCATGAGCCATTTGAGCTGCTGGGGGAAGCCCAAGAAAGGTGCCTAGAAGAGCACGGCGCAGGACCCCCATGGTGAGTAGTGGTCTGGTGGATGGGGATGGCAAGGGCTGGAGGGCCAAGTAGTACAGAAGGCAAGAAGGAAGAGATAGGTTCTAAGCTGCCCTCAAGGGACTTGCTCTTCGGCTCCCTCTAGTGCAGAGGCTCCTAAGGTTCCCTTGCCTGGAATTCCCTCCCTCCCTGAAATAGCCTCAAGGGCTCTGAATCCAGTTAACTAACAGGCACACACCTGGTCTCGGAGGACCACTTCCTGGAAGAAATGAGAGGTCGTCCCACAGATGTGCAGCCATTCTGTGTGCTAGGGGAAGGTGAGGGTGACAGTTGGGATCCAAGAGGAAGCTTGTGAAGGTTTGGGGGCTCCAGTGAGGTTCACGAAGGCTAGTGGCACTTAGGAAGGCTGGCTGGAATCAGAAAAGCTGTATCATGGGGGATACTCCTAGGAGCAAGGCTGGGCTGCTAGATCCACAGGAGACTCAAGTGCAGGGGGAGCAGCCTTGGGTCAGCTCTCAGTGTAGTTGAGACAAGGCTGATATGAAGGCCTGGATGGCTCTTTTGGGAGTGGTTCAGACCTAAGAGAGCCGAAAATATGGAAAAGCCCACCTCCCCTTTGAGTCTGCAGGCTTGGCAGACTCTGCCCCCTGGTGGCCATAGGAAGGCATGGCCCAGGCCCTGTATTTTCTGACGGCCCTTTTAGTCCCCATAATCTGTTGGCTTCTAAGGGACATCAGTAGTCAAAAGAGAGGACTCAGATGGCTCTGGGTCCAGAATAGAGATCACAGAGGAGCAAGATGCAGTGGTGCTGGGTGGTCAGCAGAGGCTGAGAGCTTGGCCTTGGTGTCAGTCAGATAACTATTGAGTGACTAGCAGGCACTCTAATTCTCCAGGCCTCAACTTCCTTCCCTGTAGCATGAGATGTAAGGCTGGGTGTGAGACCAGGCTGAGTGGCCAGCTACTACCTTCTCCAGCCAATCTTGGCAGCTCCAGCTCAAAAGCACAGAGCAGGGAGGGTCTGGGAAAAAAGACCCCACTCCTTGCAGCCGTGTGGATTTACGCTTGCGACCTTAGACAAACTCTGAGCTCCTTTGAGCTTTGTTTGCTAATATGGAAAAAGGGAATTAAACCTTTTACCTCATGGAGTTGTGAAAGAAGAAATATCTGCAAAGCGCCAAACACATAGTAAGGTTCTCAATGCACCTACTTCTCCTCCTGGGTTGAGTCTAGCTACCCAAGCCTCCTGAAGCTTGGAGAAACTGAGGTGGAAGGATGGCCTCCCCAAAAGATAACTCATCTCTCAGTTTGCAAGCTGCCTGAAGAGGAGGGTGGGGGAACAGGTCAACAAAGGCTGATGGGAGCTCCTGGTGTTGATAGAGATGGAACTTGGACTTGGAGGCCCATCTGCGCTGCCCCACTTTCCCTGGCCTAGGCGGCAGGTGAGTGATTCCCCCAACTCCCAGCTGCTTAGTTAGAAAAGGTGGCTTGACGGAGGGAGAGCAGGACTTGGCCTGGGCGGGGGTCACATGTGGAAGGGAAAATGGTCAGAGAGATAGGAAATGGGCATATGAGAGAAGGATGGTCAGTGCCCTCAGGGGTTTTCTCCCCTAGGCTCCCAGAAGCAGAGACCTATTATTTTTTAACCTAAGCTCTTCCTTTCTCCCTGACACCCAACTAGGCTCCCAGCCTCTCTCTCATCTCAGCCATAGATAGCCCCTCCCTGAGCTCCCCCCACCGCAGCCAACCAAGTTGCCCTCTACCTCTCTGCGCAGCCTGCCCTGTGGCCCACCCTGGCCGCACTGGTCCTGTTGAGTAGTGTCACGGAGGCCTCTCTGGACCCTTCGCCCCACGGCCCCGCCACCCGCGAAGACCCTGCGCCCGTCCTGGCGCCCCCTACCGGCCCCCTCTCCGGTAGGTGAGAGCGCGAGGGGGCGGGGCAGGGGCGGGGCTGGCACTGGACACCGTGGGTGACTCAGTCTCTTTCCAGGGATACGCACTGCGCGTTTGTGTAGCGGAAGATCCCGGCGGCCACTGCCGCAGACTCCCCAGCCGTCACCAACGCCTCCCGGGCCCGCACCGCAGTCCTCTCCCGCTGCGTCCCGAGGGGGCCGCGCGGCGCGGGCGGAGGGCCGGGACAGCAGCGCGCGGGCCACGGGGGCGCGGGGCTGCCGCCTGCGCTCGCAGCTGGTGCCGGTGCGCGCGCTTGGCCTGGGCCACAGCTCCGACGAGCTGGTGCGTTTTCGCTTCTGCAGTGGCTCGTGCCGCCGCGCGCGCTCCCCGCACGACCTGAGCCTGGCCAGCCTGCTGGACGCCAAGGCCCTGAGGCTGCCCCCCGGCTCCCGGCCGGTCAGCCAGCCCTGTTGCCGGCCCACTCACTATGAGGCAGTCTCCTTCATGGACGTGAACAGCACCTGGAGAACCGTGGACCGCCTCTCCGCCACGGCCTGCGGCTGCCTCCCTTAAGAGCTCTCTCTCCAAGGCCTTGCAGACTGGACCCTTACTGCGCACCTTCTTGCCTGGGACCCTCCCCGCGCGGGGCCATACTAGCCAGGATCCTCAGCCAGAGATGGAGGCCTCAGAGCTGAGGCTCCAGCCGGGTGAGTGTGAGGGACAAAAGCCCTGGAGAGACGGAGGAACAACTGCCCAGCAGCCTCTAGGTGCTCACCCTGCGGATCCCTGCCCTACAAACACCAGAAACCTCAACTGTGGAGACCTTCCACTTCTCACAGACTGTGGCACCGGACCTGGGGCCTCTCCTCTGGAGAATCCAGCAACTGGCTCCAGGCCCTGGGGAACAGAATTTCCATGAGACACATTGCAGTTGCACGGCTGAAAGTGCCTGGGCTGGAGCTGACCTTGTACTCACTTGTGGGAGCTGGACCCCTATTTATTATTTCTAAATTATTTATTTACCTTGCTGGTTTGTTAGAGCCTTTTCTGGGCAGTGGGGAGTGGGTAAAAGAGGCTGGGTGGAGATGTGTGCCCAACCTTGACACCTCCATACTTCACACTGATTCAGCAATCACAGGCTGGGCCTGGATCTCTTGCTGCTTACTGCAACAGCAGCTCTGGGTTGGGAGGCACAGAACAGAACAGAGTGGGTGACAGAGGTGCATTCACAGGCCAGCTCACACCCCCTGTACAGACCCCAGCGCATAGGGCCTGGATTACCTGTGGAAAAAGAAACAAGAGCCTTCTATGGAGAGAACCCCATCCTGAGACCAATGGCACCCTTGAGGTCCCTACTTAGTGTGTAACAACATAGACAACCACACAGTGCCCTGCCCCACTGTCACTGATCAGTGTCCTACCATCAGAGAACTGTCTTGAAGGCACTATGCCAATAAGTGCACACATCACCTCCACTTGCAGATGGTCCAGCACAGGGAGTTCCCTACCATCATTCCACGAAGCTACCCAGAGCGAGACAGCATCTGCAGAAAGGCTGAGGGTGGGAAAGGGTGCACTGGGATGCTGATTTAGGGGAGTGAAACACAGAGCTTCATGACGTAAAGAAGGCAGGAAGGGACTGAGGGCCCCAGAGGGACCTGCATTTTTGGGCGATGAATAAGGATATTCATTTATTCATCCGATAAATACTTACTAAGCACCAATTATATGTCAGCTACTAGGTAGACACTAAGGATACAGAAGTGAAAGGGACATAATCCCTGCTCTTAAGAAACCAACCAAGAGAGACAATAAGCAATTTAAATGCAATTTGGCAAATATATGAAAAAGAACTGGAAGCTAAAATGTACATACTTTTTTTTCTTTTTTCTTTTTTTGCGGGTCAGGGGTTTGAACTCAGAGCCTCACACTTGCTAGGCAGGCATTCTTACCACTTGAACCATTCCACCAGCCCAGGTACACACTTTCATCTGGAAGGAAAGTTAGTGCTGGCTGACCCTAGCCTCTCACACTGCCCCCAAGTCATCTCCAAAAGGCTGGTGCAATCCACTGAGCTAGTGAGGAACAGCAAGAGAGTTCTGAGAGCTGGGCCCATTCTGGGTCAAGTTGGCAAACTGCCTGACTATACCCCTTCCCTTCTGTGTTCACTGCCCTCATTCTAGGTGCCCCCAAAACTTTGGTACTTTTGCACTCTGAAACAGCTCTAGACCCTTCTCTCTGCCCCCAAGCAGATTCAGGATCCTCAAGTTTCCACACACACTTACCTAAAGAAAATGCCACCAAAAATTTAAAAAATTTTAAATGAAAGAAAAGAAAATGGCAATAGTAAAGCTGGGTGTTGTGATGAGGGCCTACTATCCCAGCACTAAAGAGACCGAGGCAGAAGGATCAAGAGTTCAAGGTCAGCCTAAACTACACAGTGAGACCTTGGAGAGGAAAGGAGAGAGGAGGAGAGGGGAGCACAAGGGAGAGGAGGGAAAGAAAAAGAGGAGAGGAGAGGAGAGGGAGAAAGAGTGACAGACCAAGACAGCTGGGAGTGGCAGGAACATTATGAACTCTGGGGTCATTTGGGCTAGGGAGTACCCTGCTGAGGAAAGGCCCACAAAAAGCAATCCTCCTGATCTCTACCTCCTGAATAGTTAGGATTACAGATGTGAGCCACCATGCCTGGCCCCCACCTCTCCTTTTCAAGATGAGGCCCCATTCAGCCAGTCCACACATAATGAATCACAGGGACAAGAAAGAAGGAAAGTCATTTGGCAAGGGCATCTGTCAGATCGGACAGCTGCAGGCAGGTGGCAGTAAAGGCAACCTGAAACCAGGCATCCGGGATGAAATGGAGAGGGAAGAACGAGGTGCTCTCTGGAGCTGGAAAAATGGTCATTTCAAAGCTGCCTATAATTTTCTGTCTTGCAAGAGGTAGTGACTTGGTATCTCTTTGGAGAACATGCCCCGGTTCTGAGAAGAATCAATGGGCAATGTGGTTCTGTAAATGTGAAACAAAGACCAGAATCAGAATGGAGCTACCAGAGCCCCCTGTGTCCCCAGGAGTTTCAGTGTGCTGCCCAGAATGGTGATAGATAGATACATAGACAGACAGGTAGGTCTATGTATAGATAGATAGACAGACAGGTAGGTAGATAGATAGACAGACAGATAGATGATAGATGATAGACAGACTGACAGATGGTAGATAAACTGCTTCCACCTCTCCTTCACTAAAAAAGATAAGCTCACCAGCAGCCCCACCACTGCTAAAACTAAAGGCCACTTCTCCACCTTTGGGAGTGCTGAAGCCCTCCTTGACTCCAAGCTGTCTTCCCTTGACTCTCTTGATCCCACACTCTCCAGGTTTCCTTCTACTCCCCAATTCCTTGCTCTGACTACTTTTGAGTTCTTCTTTCTCTCTCTGCCTCTTGCACATGTTTCTCAGCCTCTAAATTGGCTCCCCTCTCCCCACTCTACTCTACACCACAGTTTCAGGTATCACTCCCATCCCACCATGCTCGCATTTGATCCCTTCTTCTGAGCCCCAAGTCTGTAACTACAACATGTCTATCTGCACATCCTTGGAAACCTCAAGCTTCATATATCTGTCCTGAAGTCTTCTGTTTGCTCTTTCAGTTCCACTGTTCACCCTTGGCCACCCTGCTTTGCACCTCACATCACCGAGCTTCTCTGCTCCCCAGCTTCCAAATGACCCCAATGTTCCCTCTTCACCAACCTCCACCTGGTGACACAAGGCAGAAACTTGGGTCACATCCCTTATCCAAATCCTTAAATCTTGCAAGTCACCTTTCCTCTGTCCCCAATGCCACTCTGCTGAAGACTTCCTAACTGGTCTCATCGTCTCTAGTCTCAGCTTTCTCAACTGTCATGCATTGGGCTAGTTGTGGAGATTCAAAACGTACCCTGTCATCAAGGAAACAATAGTTGGACGTGGATATAGGGATAGGGTGCCAGCAAATACAAATACAGTACATCCCCTTAAATTTGAATTTCAGATAAACAATAAATATTTTTCTTTTACGATGTCCCATGCAATCATTGGGACTTTCTTCCACACAAAAAAAATGAATTTGTTGTTTATCTGATATTCAAATTTAACTGAGTGTCTCAAATTTTTTTCTGGCAACCGTAGGTGGAGGTAAACAAGTAAACAAAAATGCCCTCAACCACTGAAAGTCCCTCCAGTAGAAGTATCACAGGGTACAAGTGTATATGTCAATGAGGGGGAGGAGTCTACACTCAGAAAGAGGACTCAGTCCTACCTGGATGAAAAAGAAAGAAGTGCCAAGAAAGCCTTCACGGGGGAAGTGACATTTGAACTAAGTCTTGAAAAATAAGTGTTTGCTCCTTCAGAGATAAATGAGAGGCATTGGGCCTGTACTATTATTTATTGCTTTTATTGCCTCTTGGCTCTAGATTCACCATGCCCTGTCCACCACGGTGTGGCTCTTGGCTTTGGGCACAGGTGGAGGGATGATGGCCTCTTCCTTCAGCTGTGTCTCAGCCCTAAGACTCTGCTACTCCTATATCCCTTAGACTTCTCTTCTTACTAGCCAATACCTTATTGCTTCAACCCCATTATAGTTCAAAATTCTTATATTGGCCAGGTGTGGTGGCACATACCTATATCCTAGCAAGAAGATTGAGAGTTCAAAGCCAGCCTGGGCTACATAGTGAGACCCTGTCTCAAAAAAAAAAATTTTTTTTTTTTTTTTTACATTAGACTTTGTGAGCTTACTGTATGGTTCCTTTCTCCTGATTGGGCCCAGACTGACACAGAAGCTTCTCGACAGAGACAGTGGCACAAACAAAGAGGGAAGTTGAAGCAGGCTGGCATGTTCTCAGGAGTGGGGGTAGGTACTCAACAAGATGAAGGACTGGAGATCTTAAATGGCCTTGAATGTTATACCAAGGAGCTTGGGCTTGGTCCTGAGGGAGCCACTGAAGAGTTTTCAGTGGGTCTGGATAAGGTATGTTTCAAATGGATCTGTGCTCCAGTGTAGCACAGATGAGAAGATGCAAGGCAGGGCCAGTTATAGCCATGTCTGTAGCAATAGAGTTCTTCAGCCAACAGACTGGCACCTGGAGTTAGAGCACACACAGGGTGTAAGGACAGAAGAGAAGTGAGGCACAGTAGGCAGGACTTGGTAACAAATGAGTTGTGAAGACTTGAGGGAAGAGATAGTTTCCAGGTATCTGGCTTGAGTGACTGGTAAGGGACACATTAGATTTTTAGCATGTGATAAAATGGGTAAGGTGTGGGAGATGTCACAGGTTGAATTTTGTACACATTCAACTTAAGATGGCTGTGACACCTTCAGGAGGCAAGGAAGCCGGTGGCAGCTGGATGTTTGGGTTTAGAACTCAGGAGCGTCTGGGCCAGAAAGATGTGGGAGCCACAGCTTGAAGTCAAGAGAGTGGGGAGATAATGAGGGATAAGAGGAGAAACAGAGGCTAAGGCTCTAGAGAACTAACATTTAAATGACAGGTTAAGGAAGAGGGACAAGCTGATGAAGGAGACAAAAAAGGAGAGGTCAAAGGCA